TTTTATTATGCATTCTACATCTTTAAAAATACAATATCAACACTCAACACACAACTTTAAAATTATTTTAAACTAATTCAAACCCATCGCAACCATGCATTTAATATTATTAAAAAGTTAAAAGTAAAAATTTACACCATCCTTATAGGTTACTCGTTCGTTTCTTAATTTTTCTTTTACTTCATTTTTCATATTTTTATTTTATTTTTGTTATAAATGTGGAAATTATTGACGGGTGATAAATGTCATATTCAGCCATAAACTTAAATAATTTTAATATTAATTAATTTCTTTCTTATGCTACTCAGTTTTCAGCTATGCCTACATATTTAAATTTAATTATATGATTTTGATTGAATCTGTCTGAAAATATTGCAGATAAAAATTCATCTCGATGATCCTCGGAACCACCATTACCATCGCCCATAGACTCAAGCGTATGTTTTGAAGAAGCTTATAATGGCCCAGAGATATTATTGAGAAAGAATACATGGGAGAGAGATTTCCTATTGATGTTGTCAATATATATATTATAATATATATATTCAATAATTTGTAACACAATGGTTTAACTTAGTGAATTTAAAAAATTATGTATGTTGGAGAGTTGTTTTCAATTCTGTAAAACAATAATTTGAAAAACAATATTTGAATTCAATCCGTTAGTGCAATATATCATGGTTTGTTATACCCTTTCATAGCTATTGTTATATAGATGAGGCTCTGTAAATAATTAATAATAACATATTAAATTTAATAAACATAAAACAATTAAATCATTTAAAAAATAAAAATTAATAATTAATAATAACATAAGTTGAGTGCATCCATCTCCTTCTACTCTTCCTCGCCCTCGCCATTAGAATCCTTCTCATGAGGTTCATAATGATTAGGGGTGAGCATTGGTTGATTCAGTTGGTTCGGTGTCAAAATATGTATAATCAATTGAACGAATAACACTAAAAATATGAATCAAATTGAATTGAAATGTAACAATTTAGTTCGGTCGATTAATTCGATTTTGGGCTTCATGTTGGATTGCTTGGAACTTGATCCAATTTTATTATTTTTCTACTAAATAGATAAGGCTTACAAATAAAATTAGGCTTATAAAGTGATAGTAGCTCATTTTAATGAGAGTTAGGGTTTCAACTTATTAGATTATATATTTACTTTTATTTAACTGTAAAATTTAAAAGAATAAAATAAAATTAATTAATTAATAAACTAAAATAATTAATAAATTATATATATATATGATAATTCAGTTGGTTCGATCTATTTGATTTTAAACTTACTAACTGAATTGAACCGATCAACCAAAATAATTTTTTTAAAAAAAACTGAATCCAACTGAAAAATTGAATAGATTGAATCAAATAAAAAAAATTCAGTTCGATTTTCAGTTTCAGTTTGATTTTGTGCACCCCTAATCATGATTGGGCTGATAAGTATGATCTTCGGTGCTCATATTGTAAACTAAAAAAGATAATAAAAATAAATATTAAAAACTATAAAATGTAAAATAAATATTACAAAAAATAATATAAATACTAAAATAAAAACCTGAAGGCTCAAAATAACTTGCATGATAAGAGTTGTGTATAAAAGAGGGGAAAGTTGAGGGAACTTTCAAATTAAGTAAGAAACGTGACAAAAATAATAAAAAGGAGGGGCGCCATTTATACAAGCGTTGGTGCCGGCGTGCCGCTACCAAATGGTAGCAATTTTGAAAACCACGACAAAAGGGAATCTTCAAGATGTCCGATACCACCAGTCACTACTGAGGTCATTGTCTTGGTCTTCGTAACCGGTAGCGGTTCTACACAAACCGTCACAAAAACTGTCATGTCGTGACTCTAATTTTCACGGATTCTCCTTTGTTAGCAAACCGCTACCATGTATAAACCATTGTGACATTTCCTGCCATTTAACGCCATGTAGATGTTTTACCAAAACCGTTGCAACATTTACTGCGGTTGTCACCCAAAAACTGTTACGATATTCTTTTTTTTTTTTAAACGTGTTTTCAAGATTAGAAGAGTACCTTTTTTAAGGTTCTTAAAAATTTCTACTTGAAAATCATATAATATGATTAACTTGAGAGAATGAAGTATTTAACAAATAAATAAATAAAAATTAACAACACATATATAATGATTAATTTATTGTTGAGAGTATTTTATGGCTTCCATTATCATAACATTTCTCAAATATTTACACACCACCAAAAGGAGATGTCATGCTAGTATGTGTGTACTTTATCATGTCCTAATTACAGGATAAAGTTAACCAACTTCATAGTAATGATAGTTAATGTCATTAAACTTGTAAAAAAAATTGATTTTCAAGTTTTACCCTTTGCTAAAATTAATGATCATAATAAAATATGTTTAGAAATTAAACTTGGGGCAATTAAGGTGGGTAATATTGTAAAGAATCAATCACAGGCCTGTTTGGGTAATTATGAAAAACACATCCAAGCTATATTTTGAATGTGCTTTTGCCAAATCCAATAAATAGTTGGATCTCCCAAATATACTTTTACTATATGTAAATTAAAAATCAAACACACACTGTATCTTTCCCTTATAATTTAATTAGGAGGAAATAGAGTAGTGCCTGTCTAATGCATTGAGAAATTGTCTTTTCTCAGTCAATTTTTTTTTGGTGAGATGTGACGTCAAGGGCTTCCACTACTATATGCCAATTTTTTTTTAGAATCTTTTTCCCTTTTCTCATTCAATCTTTTTGTTAGATGTCATGTTAGGGACTTCATAGCAAATTCAAAATGCTTTGATACTTTTTCTATAATTAAAGCACTTAAGTGGTCCTTTAATGAAATTTTTCCAAAAAGATATAATATTCAACATGTAAGGGAAGAGCAAGTTGAGGAGTAAATTAATACAACTAATAGCAAATCTTACTATTCACTAATTATAAATACTACTTTTTATTTATTAATAAAACTCATAGCAACTTGCAACCACAAGTCGTCAAGGCCTTTATTTTCAAAAAAAAATTATAAATATTGCTTTTTTTAATCCTTATAATTAAGCGACTTATTGTCACCGCGGTCAATTATGGTTAATGGTCAAATGTGAAAGTCAAGAAGAGCATTTTTGACATTTTCCATATGTCAAAAACGACATTCAAATTCTTGGGGGGGCGTTAATTAAATTGGGGGATTTACTTGCCATTACGTACCTTCCTCATTTAGATTTTAGTGGTCACTCATTTACCATTTTTATTATTATTTTGAACTCATGTATGAAATATGGATTGATTAATGCACACTACCTTTCTATATTTGCGATGTGATATGGTGTTATGTTTAGGTTCATTTCTGTCCGTACTAGTTTCTTGTTTTGAACAAAAATCAAAAGGGAAAAAAATGAAAAGCTCTCTGTTGACAATTTCAAAAATTGACTAAATCCGATCGATGAAATTGAACGTGTACATATGAATCATTAATCATGTCATAAAGGCTAGAGCAATTCATTGTCTTTATTCTCTAGATCATTGTTTTTCATTACTCACAAGTATTATTCTATCAGAGAAAATTCTGCTGGAGGTATGGTCAGACACTAAGTGATAACATCTCTCCCAATAAAGATTTAAATCTTAATTCGCCACGTTGTAAGAGACTAGCTTCTTCATCTGTAACCAACCCCTTTGTTGGTCCAAATCATTGTTATGTTCAATTAATTTCATATATATATCTAACTATATGTACATGAATCAGATTGTTGCTATTATTAATAACATGAAAGAAACAATTTGATTGAAAGATATATTAAATTCAAATATCGGCAAAGTTGAGAAATTAAAAGCTGAGAATAGATGCATATTAAACCAATAATAACAATATAGTAGTAGTAAAATGAGATCCAAAACACAATACAAATTGCATTATTATTCATGACTTAAATAGTGAGTCATATATGAGATTTTATGGATACATATAATAGAATATAAATATAAATATAGATTATATGGCACATCTCTGGTTTTTCCTCGAGTTATATATGTCACATATCTTCCATTATCCCATGTTTTTGGATAAGGTATAACCGCCGCAGCTGAGAATATGAATAGCGTCAATATTGTAAACATAAATACATTAGTCAAACATGCATACATATACAAAGATGCATACATATGTATAATACACACACACACACACATCGTTACTGAAATCTAACGTAAGAAAACTATGAAGTTTTGGTTGAAACTGTGGTGAGATTGTGGCGTTTAGTTTAATTTGTTTCTCATTTACTATATCAAACTTGAACGTGACATTGGCCTAACATTTGTTTAGGCTTTTCCTGTGAAAATTAAACACTCTAGTGCCTATTTGGCAACCTATTCTGGAAATAATTTTTTTCTTCTCTAGAAACAAAAAAAAAGTTTGGTAATGTGTTTTTAAAAAGTATTTTAGAGAATAAAAAAACAAAAACATCTTTTAGATCTTTTGGAATTATTGTTCTAAAAAATAAGGAGGAATTAAAAAAGTACTTATTTTTATTATTTTTTTATTCTTAAAACATGTTCTACAAGACACCAATTCTTATAACAATAAAACAAAAACAGTTTCAAACATGCCCCCTAATCTCTATCATGTTTTATTTCTCTCTTATAGTTATTTCATAAAAGATACTAATGTCATAAAGGTCCCAAGGGACTTGAGGAGAATTATCATATTTCATGCACCTCATGTCCTCATTGTCCATTTCATATTTTAAGGGGATTTTTCTATCATTTTTCCTTTTTAAAATCAAAAGTTATATTATTACATGGAATGTTTGATAAAGTCAGGAAAGACGGTCCCAATCTTACCCACGTTTTCAACAAAAAATTTAGGGTTTTCTTACTTATTGTTCCTATGCGAGGAAAAATTCAAATATGCATGTTTGACTAAATCTTTTCATTAAATTAGTTCACTTGACCTCTCTCTCTCTATATAGATAGATAGATATATAATGGTCCAGCGATTCTCACAAAGTTGTACTTGATCAAGATGGCTGATATGAAGAAGCTTATATTGAACATTGCTTTGCTGTTTGTTCTTCTTTTCTCCAGTAAAGTCGCAGCTATGGTACCAGCATTTTGGATGTCTGATCATCACATAACACGTAAGTGATCAGAAACTAAAATTTATCATTTAATTTAAATTTTAGTTTTTCATTTAAATCATTTTCCGATCAGATTTAGTTCATAATCAAATTGGCTTTTCTATTAATTACTTCAATGTTTCTCAATCTGTGTCCATTGGACGAATTTAATATTTTTTTTGAGAAAATATCGTGGCTCAGAAACCGAATATAAAGAGAAAACTCATTTATTGCTTGAATCTCAGATGCTTTACAAAGACCAGGGTCCTATTTATAGTACTGTGATTCTTAAACTGGAGCAACAAAGTAAAGGGGACGTTACAAGAGTAAAGGGAAGGTTATGGAAGTTACAAGAGTTTTATTGTGCTCCATTTACTCTCATTATGTGACTTCCGTTGCTGCTCTTTTGTTTCCGTTTCATATTGATATCTTAATTGTTCGTTTTTTTTTTCTTTTTTGTGTTGATGATCATTTGATATTACAGAGAAGGTAAAGATGGAGATGTGATCAGCTTGTTCTGTTTTTTTTTTTTTTTTCCACCGAGCTTGTTTATTTTCTTCAATATGGGTTCATCAAGTTTCGGTTAGTACTGGAATTGAAAACTAATACGAACCCATTGACAAGATAAAAATAAAATAATCACTCCAAAATAATACTCCATCAAGTCCCAATTGATAAGACATTTCGAAGGAAAATTCAGTGTCCTAAAATATAAGATATTTGAACAAAAATAAGGTTTAATTAATGAGCATTGTCCAATATTACCTTTCCCATAATATTTTTTTTATTCTTCCTTCATAAATAAAGTATTAAACAAAGGATGTTTTTGAAAATTTATATTTTTGTTTTAAAAAATAAGATTATAAAGTGTATTTAATAAGCTTCATTGATAAACGTGATTTTGTCTAAAATATAAATTTGGACATGATTGACTATCATCAATTTTCACAATCACTAAAATTAAAAATTGTAGATATTATATCTAGTCATTTTCCTTATAATTCTCTCCTCAATTTCCAAATATGTGGTTATTCAATTTTCTTGTGGGATTTTAATTGAATCTATCTCATAAAACAATGCAGATAAAATTGGCCGCGTTGCTGATATTCCTCAAGGCCACAACTATCGTCATGGTTAGAACTAAACAAAACCATAGCTCTCTATGAAGAACCTTGTGGCCAAAAGATTATTGTCAAAGAATGCATGGAGGAGATAGATCTTATTCTTAATTTTTGTGCAAAGCATGATATCCCTTATTGTTAATTATCCAATAAAAAAAATGTGAGACTCGTATGTAATACAAATATGTATGGTTAAGTAAATTATCGTTCGTTATATCACTTATGATTTTTTCATTATATCTATATCTCTTTTTCTTCATATTGATTTTATGATTGACTATCATAAAACTGGAAAGTAAAACAAGAACCTAACTAATTTTAGAAAGATAAACACAAATAACTAGATTAATTATAATTCTAAAAATATACAGTAATTTAAAATTATACTTTTATGATTTAATTAGTTGTTTGATTATTGTGGAATACTACAAAAAATATGACTTTTGGCGGTAAAAAATTAGTGTCACTGCCAAAAGCTTCTTTTGGCGGTGAAGATTTGTTGCCACCAAAACTATACTTTTAGTGACAACAATTAAATGTCACTGCTAAAAGTGAACTTTTGGTGGCGATTTTGATTTGTTGCTGCTAAAAGTCTACTTCTAGTGGCAATATTTGTCATTATTAAAAATATTTTTATAAAAAATAATTTAAAATTTTAAAATAATCAATATAATTTATAATGTTGCCACCAAAAATATTTTTATAAAAATAATTTAAAAATAAAATAATTTATATAATTCACTTTTGACAACGACATTTGTCGCCATCAAAAGTATTTTTATAAAAACTAATTTAAAAATTAAAAATAATTTGTAAAATTATAATTTAAATTTTTTAACAAAATTTATGAATTGTTTTGAAAATTTGAAATGAAATAAAATTATTGAAAATATATTTATGAAATTAAATTTCTTATTTTATGTATAGAATTAGAAATAAATTATATATAAGATCGTGAAACAAAAAAAAATAATAGTCAAGATGTGCTAAGTTTAATTATTAAATTATTTCTAATTTTATATCATAATCAATTTTTAGACATATATAGCTCATATTTTTTTAAGAATTATGTTATTAAGCTAGTATTTTAATATGATAAATTAAAATCTTGATGGGTTATTACTTTCAACTATAATTATGTTAAGTTATACATAAATTATTACTTACAATCAAATATATAAATGGCATTGGGATGTTAAAGTTGTATAAATGTCATGAGATGCAAATGATATTATACACTACTTAATATATTGTGCACTTGATGCTTAGCTTAATATACATATGGTGTCTACTTCTTCTACTAAGCTCTAATGGCTTTTGAAAAAAGATTTCATGTAATTCCTCCTAGTATATTTAGGTTTCATTGCTATAAAAAAGAAGTTACTAATAATATTTTTATAACTAATTATTACTAAGAATAATATAAATAACTATCCAAATCCACCTTGCTATGAGGTTGAGTATCATTAGATGTTAACTAGATTGATCACATATGATATTCTTTCAATTATTATATATTGTAAAAGTTATTAGTATTCATTTTCAAAATTATTCAAAATGACTATTGACAAAGTTTATGTGGTTAAAAATAATTTTTTAAGATATTGAAAAATTATTGATAAAATATATTTTTAATAAAAGAGGGTTAAGCATTTAGCTATTTTGAGAGAAGATAAAAATTTAATCATTTAGTTTATCAATTTTTGAGAAAAATATGGAGAAGAAAAAAGTAAAAGATATTTAACATAAAAATAATATAATACATATTTATAAATAAATTATATACTTAATAATTTTCATTTAAAAATAAAAAAATAATTTAAAAATTGATTACAATGTATATAAGAATATTATCTAATATTTAAAAATTTTTTATTTTAAGTTCATTTTCTTAACAAAAATAAAATTTATTGGTGAAAAATAATACTTTATTAAAATTATAATTTAAATATTCATATAAATCATTTTGTCATATTAATAATTGAAAATAAAAAATATATGTATATATTTTTAATAATATATTATTTGATATATGTGTATACAGTTACATAACATATATTTAATTTCGCATATAATAACTATAGATGCATTTCAGTTTAATTGGCAAAGAAGGGAAACTTAAGGCTTGGAGATGGGAGAGATCAAGAGTTCAAACTTTGACTTTGTCATATTTCACAACAAATATGTGACGTGATGTGTGGTGGTGATGTGGCACATGAGGTGGCTTAAGAAGGCATATACATGGCAAGTGACAGCCACAATATGGTGGCGTAGCACATGAGGTGGCTTGAGGGGGCATATACATGGTAGGTGATGTGGCGCGAGATGGTGGCGTGGCACATGAGATGGCTTGAGGAAGTGCACACGTGACATATGACATAGCATGAGATGGCTAGGTAATATGGCATCATTTGTTGAACACGTGGCCTGTGATGTGGCACAAGATAACAAGTGATGTGGTATCATCTGTTGCATGTATGGCAAGTGATATGGCATCACTTGATGCACGCATGGTAGAGTGATGTGGCATAAAATAAATTATTATTTCTTAAAAAAAATTTTGATGGCAACAAATGTCGCCACTAGAAGTCTTTTTAGCAGTGACATTTATTACCATCAAAAATACTTTTAGTGGCAAAAAACCTGTCATCGCTAAAAGTCTACTTTTGGCAGTGACAATATTTGTCACCGTCAAAAGCTATTAGTGATGGTTGTTATAATGACAACTTTTTAGCAATGAAAAGTCACCGCTAAAAATTTTTAGCAGCAACTTTTGAATTTTTGGTGGCAACTTTTTATTGTCGCCAAAAGTCTGTTTTTTTTAAAGTGGAAACAAATTCAATAATAATTAAAAATGGCTTAATAATTTAAAAAAATAGTAAGACATTTTAAGAATAGTTGTATTAAAAATGGATTAATAATTCTTTATCCGTTGTTGGAATCTTTCTTGCACGCGCACTACGGCCTTGTCCTGGTCATTCCGAAATGATGCCACCTGTCCCATGTGGGACCAATGCCATACTTCTTCTTCCGTTTTTTTTTTTTTTTTGGGACAAAGACCAATGCCATTCTTTAATATTACCGAGAAAAAAGCAAGCATATACACAACGTAACACATTTTCTTTAAAATCTGCATAAAAAATAAATTTGAGAATGTATGAAACTATTTGAAAAATGTGCAGATACGATTGAATAAACACTTATAAACAGCATAATAGTATATTCTTGATAAAATTTCACGAAATGAGTTTTCCAGTAACAATATATGAATTCCCAAATAAATTATCTTTCAAAAGTGGACAACGATAGTTTGTTTAAGTCTACCAGTTTGTTCCCTTGCTTTGAAACAAAATCTTCAAATTCGGGAAAAATGTTAATTATGCCATCCAAATGTGAATTATAATTGTTAAACAAACGGGCTTTGGTTATAAGATTGTTTTAATAAAAACAACAATAAGTTAATAATTTTACTATTTGGCCATTATATGGCTTTTTTCAGTTTTGCCTCAACAATATAAATAGCTCTTTGTTTGATGGGGTTTCACCATCTTATATACACAACTCTAGCAGACATTGTTCTACTTGAACGAGAGAGGAAAAAAATTAAAGGCCTACATAGAATTCAAAGAAGAACAAAATATGTACGCAAATTTGAGTATTACTTAAATTTCTGCTTTATTTTTACTGCTAGCATCTTCAGTCGTGGCTCAAACTACGGTTTTTGATATAAGAAAATATGGTGGAGCACCAAATGGAGATCTGACCTCGGTGAGTATTTATTTAAGTATTGCATTATTAGTTTGAAATTTACTACAAAAAGATGAATTTTCTAACAAAAAATTAGTACTTAACAAATTTTGTGACAAATAGTCCTATTGCAAATAAATTTATTTTGACATATATATTCACTAAATTTCCAACACAAAAGTTGTATGACAAAGTTTGTCATTGATTTGTGGGGAAAAATGAATTTTACCACATTTATTTTGTTTAGTAGTTAATTATCACATGTTATACATATATGCCTTCAACATATTTTTTCTTGTTAATTTATTTAATTAAAATATACTTGGTTTGTTGATTAATGTTGAGAAGAGCTTAGAGAGAGCATGGAAAGAGGCATGTGCATCAACAAGTGCAAGCAAAGTTTGGGTGCCTAAAAGTACTTACAATTTGAGACAAATAGAACTAAATGGTCCTTGCAAGGCTCCAATTGAGCTTCACATTGAAGGAAATATTGTAGCACCAGAAAACCCTAATCGATTCAATGGAGATTCCCAATGGCTTAGTTTTGGATACATTGATTCCTTTACCTTATCTGGTGGTGCCACTTTTGATGGTCAAGGTTCAATAGCTTGGAAGCAAAATAATTGTGCTAAAACTTGGAATTGCAAGAAGCTTTCCATGGTAAGTAATAAGTTATACATGCACATTTTTAAAATTCAAGAACATGTGTTGAATTCATTTTATCATTATTTTTTGAAATTATTTATTAAAACATAACGTATGTATAATTTTCAAATAGTAATAATTTAAGAATATATGTTTTAATAGAGAAGTCATATAATGAGTTAATTTTCCCAAACACGCACACACACATGATTTAAAAAAAGGTTAGCAGGAAGAGGGAAAATTAGATTGAATTGTGTTGAATCTCTAAGTCCTAAGTCCCAAGATGTCTTTTTCTTTTCTTTTTTATTTAGTATCTCCCACTAATAAGCTAATAAACACTCAATCAATGAGGTATAGATCTTTTAAAAATCTAACTTTATTTCAAACCCCTTCCAGAATTTCGGTTTCAGCTTCATGAACAATTCGATCATCCGGGACATAACATCAAAAAACAGCAAACATTTCCACGTGAATGTTCTAGGGTGCCAGAATATTACATTCAATGAATTCTCCATCGAGGCTCCATCAGATAGTTTGAATACAGATGGAATCCACATTGGAAGATCAACAAAAGTGGAAATACTTAACTCAAACATTGGCACAGGAGATGATTGTATTTCATTGGGTGATGGAAGTAGACAAGTGAGTGTTGAGAATGTGACATGTGGACCTGGCCATGGCATTAGTGTTGGAAGCCTTGGAAAATATGAAAATGAAGAACCTGTTGAAGGTTTGATAGTGAAGAATTGCACTTTTAAAAACACTGATAATGGCGTGAGAATAAAAACTTGGCCTGGTACTTAATAAATATCCCAGTCTTTGGCTTACACTTTGAGAATCTCGTCATGATCAATGTCACCAATCCTGTAATTATAGATCAAGAATATTGTCCATGGAACCAATGCTCAAAAAAGCTATTTAGTTCTCTTCCTTTTTTGGTGTATCATATTTTCTAAGATTTTGCTACATATTTCTAGCTCCTTCTTTCTTTCATTATTCTGTGCATTTTGAGCTGCTACAGACTCCATCAAAAGTAAAAATAAGTAGAGTTTCCTTCAAGAATATTAGAGGCACTTCAACAACAAAGGAGGGAATAATTTTGATTTGCAGTAGTAGTGTACCATGTGAGAAGGTGAAACTCACGAATATTGATCTCAAATTCAACGGGGCTCCTGCAACAGCTACTTGTAAGAACATCAAGCCCCAAGTCTTTGGGGATGTACCAACATGTACTCCTTGATATGTATATTAATTTCGTCATTCATTGAATAAAAAAATTATATGTTAAAGTCTTATTGTTCATTTCCACTTTGTGCTATTTCTGGTTCAGAAATTGTGTTGATGTGTGAGCATATTGCTCCAAGAGAAGATAAGTGCCTAATTTAATTTCGTCTTAAATTGATAATGTTTTGGAGCAAACATCTGGGGAAAAAAATACCTACCAGAAAAAGAATGCAAATGCAAGTAATACAACGGAATACATATATCAATGAAAACATAAAATACTCTCATCATTTTTATGTTTTATCTTAATTATATAGACCTCTTATCAATTTTAAAGGCTTACAAAACCTTTTTTTTTAAATTGTACTTCATGTTACACAAACCTCTCTGTTGTCAAGATTCTATTTTCTTCCATCGAGTCCTTAAATTGTCATTAATTCACCAATTTTTTTTTCTGTGTGTATATTGAAAAGCTAAAAATTATTAACTCCACTGATAATCAAATCTTCTAAAATCTTAATCAAAGATATGATTTATTTTATACCAAAACAATAAATAAAAAAATCATAATGAGCCATAGGATCATTTGAGGCAGGGCAAACGCCAAGAACAACAAAGAACAAATTCTCAATCTGTACCATAAATTGCCATATTATTAATAAATTATTGATGAATTGTAACTAGCCTATTTCATCTCATACTTCCTGCGAGCTGAGACCCACAATATACGTATTGGAAAATAACATTATGAATAAATGTCACATAATATAAACCATAGATTCACTTCTCCCTCACTGATCTGCAAAGGATCATGCATGAATGATTCAGTGTGTGCGTCTATTATCATTTCAGAGCAGTTCAGTTTCTTTAAATCTTCGGGAAAATAGCATCTAGAGCTCTTGGAAAGAGGAAGAAAATTATAGAGAAGGCCCAATAATATGAAATTTCTCTCCAGGCCCATAGGCTTAACCGAAATCATGTTTTGAGGTTAAAAGTAAAGAATGACCCTAATTTGTTGAAGATTGATTCCTTTTGAATGTTGGAAGTCCTTCCCGAGGATAATTGGATTTTGTGTTATACAAACAATAATGTAGGATGTTTATTTGTAAATTTAAAAAATGTTTATAGTTTGGTTTGCAACAAAATTAAATGAATTACAATCAAAACTAGAGAAAACAAGAAGTTCTAAACATATGCTTGTCATTCTCCAAACTTGTAGTTGATGATATCATAGATAAATAAGGTATTTCAAAGAATACAGTAACTCAATATTTACTTGTTAAAACCTAAATACATACTTGTCAATATATGAATATTTACTATAATTATCTATCAATGACAACCACAATTTTAGAGTTTCACACCTAAATGTTTGTAATTGATAAGTACATGTTCGAATTTTGACAAGTCAATATTATCAAATAAATTATAAAAATTATCAAATAAATGTTTAGATACTGACAAGTTAGTGTTCAGGTTTTAATAAGTAAATATCATGTTGTTATATCCTTTGAAATACCTTATACAAGTTATCCATGATATTATCTACTACAAGTTCTAATATTGTCAATTAATTATATGTGCGTAACTACTTGTCATCCCTAGAAGCAACTTGTAATCCATTTAACTTTTTACCAAATCAAATTATAGATATATTATAAATTTACAAATACATATCCTACATTAACCAGACAACATATTTTCACAATACAAAATCCAATTATCTTGAGGAGGGACTTCCAACATTCAAAAGGGCATTCATCAAAATCAAAGGCATTTTTTGCTTTTTACTTGAAAACATAATTTCATTTGGGTCCTTCAAGCCTACTAAGAAATTTCACCATTCAAAATTTAACAAGCAAAGATCTAATTGTTATATTCTTTGAAGTAACTCATACAAGTTATCCATGATCTTATCAACTAGTTAATATTGTCAAGTATATGTTCATAACTACTTGTCATATTTAGAATCAACTTGTAATCCATTTAACTTTCTCGTACATCAAATTATAAATATTTTATAAATTTACAAACATACCCTACATTAACAAGACAATATTCTTATTTTTACAATACAAAATACACTTATCCTGAGGAGGGACTTCCAGCATTCAAAAGAGCATTCATGAAAATCAGGGGCACTTTTTACTTTTTACCTCAGAACATAAATTCACTTGGGTTCTTTGGGCCTGTAAAGAAATAAATTTCAGATTCTATATTGGCATTCTCTGCAATTTTCTTCCTTCCGAGGACCCTAGATGCTATTGTCCCTAAATCTTAACAGTTCGTATCAAACCATTATTCTCTCACCTCCAAAACTTGCTTCTTTTTGCATGGCATGTTCTCAGTGCTATTATGATAAAATAACTTTTTTTTAATGGAATGATAAACTAATCCTATTGACTGGGTTCATAATGATCCTGATTCAAACAAAAGTATGAAAGGACTTAATACACTTCAATAAGATATATGTTCCTTTTTTGGGAAAATCACATCCAAGGAGTTAAGAAAGTTATTTATAGATAAGGACTAATACAAAATAGATTATTATTAAAATGAAAACATGACTTATTTTTTTTCCCTTGAATGGAACTAGTTGTTAGTCCTTGCCTTTGAATAATTTGCTTTAGTGGTTTTTAGATGTGATTCTCCCTTCTTTCTTGGCTAACAATAAGATCAATGTTTCAAATCTTATTATCAATATTAAATAGTTGTGCCATAAAATGATGGTTAATTAATTAAATTATAGTAGAACTGGAAGCTAAGGTGTTGCATGACGCATGATAAAACAGAAAAATTCTTGTTATAAAGAAAATTAACATGCTCATAATTCATCAGTATTCTATTTTGAAAAAACTAACTTCACCACATATATCAACTGAACATACAACGTAAATTTTAGGGAATTAATAAAGTAACTTCCAACTAGCCAAACCATTCAAAGTACAGATTCCACACACACACACACACACTCTCTCTCTCTCTCTCTCTCTCTCTCATAGACACATACATAACACACACATAAGATAATCAAAATCTACAGCAAGCCATCTCAGATTCTGTGCAATACACAGAAAAACATGTCTAGATGAGTGTATTCATTTGAGCACTTACATCATATCTCATATGTCATTCCAACTTTGAGAAGCTTAGAATGTGGGATGCCAATTAAATCTTGTCCTTGTCTAAAATTTTTCCTCAAGAAACTGTAGACATAATTGACAACTATCTTCTTGAGTAACGATGACTGAGGCTGTGCCATTACTTGAGTTTCTCCCAGCAAATATACTACACCTTTCTCCTTGGCTCTCTCCACAAACCCTATCTCCTCTTCTGCATTATTATTTTCTACAAGAACTATATTAGGATTAGAGATTATTGATGTCGATGACTTCACTGTTCTACTTGAGTGAACAGGATCATCTTCAGCAAGAATAGAATCATCTTCTGGTGTTGGGATTGATGATGGGACTATTCGATTGGAATAAGATTTTCCATCACTACGGCGATGATGATCAGTACTATTGCTTAATTCTGCTCCCCCAAGATCTGTAGAAAGACTTTGATGACGAATGAACTCCTTTAGTTGCTCAATTAATTGTTGCTCAAACTCCGAGTGTTCATTGATTAGATCATTGTAACCAAACCTGGCAACACAGCGGAAAATTCTGAACTCTTTTGGCTGAACTTGTCTAAATAGGAACCTCTCTTCCAATGCAATTCTACTGACAGGGATGGACTTTAAGGTCACAAACACTACAACAGAATGAATGGATGGTACATTGGCAAGGAAGTGAGAGAAGATTGGAGGAACGCCTTCAACAAGCTCGGAATATAGGAGCGCTACACCGGGAATTCGCCGTGTTGCCTGGTTGTTTACTAGCTGTCTCAGATGTTCACCTGAGACCTTGTGGTTCACCTCAAACATGTACTCTTGTGTTTTTGTGTAGTGCCATATGGCCATCAAGGTCATCAAGAACAAGGCAAGTAGTAGTGGAAGAAAGCCTCCTTGAGTGAATTTAGTTAGCATAGATGATAAATAAACTATCTCTATCGAAATGAAAACCACAAAGAAAAGAGCGATCCACCATATACTTGTCTTCCATATAACAAGCATAATGAGAGTGACCATGCAGGTCGTTACAACCATCACAGTGCACACAGCGATTCCTGCCAAAAGTGGGTGGTAAAGAAGGATAGTTAATATACATCCTTTCTCTTTTCTGAGAAAAATAATTTTCGGTCCCTTTACTTTTAGCTTGTTTTAGTATTAGTCCCTTAAGTTTATCTATCTACAATGTTAATATCTATATTTTTTTAAATATGACCATAAGGACTTGACGGTGGTGGCTAATTAATGTGTACATCACCTTTGTTACTTCTTGTGCTAACTTGTTAAAATCATGACGACTAGTTGTCTATAAAGAGTAGAAGGCAAAAACAAAAAAAAAAAAAACAAAAAAAGAAAACACAAGTAGGACATTAAAGCAGAATTCTTAAACATGTGTATACATAGAAAAATACGTGTATACAAATATTCATATGTATATATGGTGATATATATGGTGAAGCTTACCATAAGCATGGCCAATATTTTCTGTGGTTCTGAAAGAAGCAACGACAATGACACAAGCAAGCATAAGAATGAAGTTGATCTCAGGTATGTAGACTTGACCTTCATAATTGGAAGATTTATGCATAACCTTCACTCTTGGAAAACAACTCAAACTTACAGACTGTCGTATTATAGAAAATGCCCCAGAAATCATAGCTTGGCTGGCAATAATAGCAGCAGCTACCGCAGACACAAATGTTGGCCAGTACAATGGGTCTGCATGTGATTAAGACCAATATTAATATCAAAAATCACTGCAATTAACTAATGAAAATTAACTTATTAAATATGTCTTGAAATGAAAAAAATGGTATTACTCTGTTTCTATTTATAAGAGAAACTATCACTTTTTACTTTTTTTTGTATAAGTAAAATCACATATTTCAATAAACATTTATCACATATTTTCTAAATTACCTCTCAAAATTTATATTAACAAGAAATCATTAATGCATGCTTATGTTAATTAACATAGGACATTTTAGTCTAATTTCTTTATTTTCAGACATAATTATTATGGTTAACTAATTTTTTTAAACTATGTGATATAGTTTTTTCTCTTGTATAGAAACGGAGTAAAACATAGTGTACAATGAGCCATAAATTAAAATTAAATTTATAACTTTAGTAAAATTGAAGAATGGTGATAAAAAATTTTCAATGTGGCTTAGATTAAAGACCAAATAATCTTTCTAGAAGATGCCTATAATGGGAACCAAAGGGAGTACAAATATTCATGTCTTGAACACTAGAGGGATCATTATATTCTTCAAACTTTGTGTAATCACTAAACATTTTTTTCCTATGGCAATAGACACAAATTGCTGGTGTAGGGCAAAAGATTTACCTATAACAAATTGCTGATATAGAGCGAAAGATTTACCTAATTTTTAAGGCAACGGTTTTTTTAGACTTTGTGATCATCAAAAGTTATATTAAAAAAACTATTACTTATTAATATGTTAGGCAACATTTTTTCTGCCTGGAAAATTAATTTTGTTACGATGAAAATGCTGTGGTTAATTTATGAAGGCTCTCCTCTAGCTAGTTATCAATATAAAATATAAATCTATAACAAGTTACGTTCTTCATAAACTACGCGCACATTGATTGTCTGACTCGTTTTAGATTCTGTCCAATGCATTGAGAAATGTGTGTGTAGTTGATAATAAAGATCTAGTGTTAGTGTCATCAGCAAGAAAGAAGCTAATTAGTTTACCAGGTATTGACTTGTAAAAGGTATCTGATACATCGTCTGGGAACTTTCTAAGGTATGCCCCTTGACCACTGTATGCACAAACTAGTGTTGGCATTGTCACACAAGAGAAGCTAATCTATAACCAAAAGAAGCAAGACTTGGTTAAAAACTGTCACGATACGAAATTGAAATTTTAAGACTACACAGATTATTAGATTGCAGATTACAATGTATATATAGTTCAAAAAATGTATGATAACACATATACTAATTACCTGGACTGCTCTTACGTTGAAGTGGCCCAAATCCGCAAACATTGCCTCAGTTCCTAATTCATTGAAAGATATATAAACAAATCTGTTAGAAGCTAAGAAATTCCAATGTTGCTATATATTGTTTTGTTGTGCATGTATGTGTGTACGTGTGAGAGAATTTTTCTTATTTGTTTTATGAAAAAGTAGTTATCAAAATATTGGGAGTTAGTATATATTAATTAGAGCTAGGTCCCAAATTTTTTTCTAAAAGATGGGTTACAAATATTACTTCAAATAATTATAAAAATTGAAGTTTCAATTGTAAGGTGAGACTCTCATTTAAATCTTTTAAGTCACTTTCAATTATGATTTGCAATTGAGACTCTCATTTTTGCAACTATTTGAATCAGTATTTATAACATATTTTTAATAAAATTTTATAGGACCTAGTAATGTTATTTAATTAAACTGTTTGAAAACCTAACTCTGACTCTCCCTCAATTAATATCAAACTATTTAAAAAAATACATTAACTTGCACCATAAAATGACAATGATATAGTTCATTTTACATTTTAATATATGCGTATGCAGTGCACATAAATTATTCATCATAAAGGAAAATATTATATGTACCTGTAATGCACAAAAAGATTCCACCAAGAGAAATCCAACCTTTCTTGCCATTCCTTTTGAAGTAATCGACAATATAGAGGGGATTAAAAGCTCTCAAAACAGTAATATCATATTTGAATAAGTTGTAGAGACCTATGCCCCCAATGAAGGAGAACCACACCAACACCAATGGGGCAAACGAGGACCCCACTTTGTCTGTCCCAAAACGTTGCACTGTGAACAGTCCGATTAAGATTGCTACAGAGATCCCAACAACAGCATCTGCAATAACAGATATATATATATATATATATATATCAGGAAATTTAAAAAAATATATAATAGTAATCAATATATTAACATGCACCATACTTAAATTAATCATGAATAGTATGACTATTTTTAAAATTACAGAATTAGGACTGTACTTTCTCCAAGAGACTTGATCCCGCTTACTGCTGAAAGCACTGCATATGCATGACATAAAGATAGTGTCAATAATTACAGAATTCTAATTAATTGATTCCTAAAGAAAGGCAATTCGGTTTCTTTTTCTATGATTATAACTTTCAATCTGATTAAATTTTTTCTATAACCCTTTAATTTCTCGTGTCATTAAAGGGTCATTGTGCTTTACACACGCACATACAAGTTTAGGAGATTTGGGTCTTGGGAGCTGCTAAAGGCATGGCATGTCTCCAGGCCTAAAAAATACTTCCGGAGGTACTTACAAAGAACTCTAATAAGGTCTTCACATCTCACAATTTTGTAAGTTATGGATCAAATTTTATTAATTAAACAAACATTTGTTTATGCTCTCTTCACACTTGGTGTAGCATATTGAACTAATGTGTCAGGTAAATATGCACTCCCTCTGCCTTTATAAAACTTGTTTTATTTTGCAAAATTACAATATCAATAAAATCAATTAAATATTACAGTTTAAAATTTTAGTTTCTCCTAAAAAAAATATAATTTTTAAAAATATCTATCATTTAATAATGAAAGGGAAAAAAGACATTTAAAGAGGAGATTATTTTTGAAATAATTAATTTTCATTAATCAATCTTTATTTTTCTCAAAATGTTTTATATTATTATGCAATATCAAATCATTCTGAAATATATATATATATATATATATAAAATATATTAGAAAATGGGGGGAGAGAGTTCGTAAAATCTATATCATGTTGTTGGCAAGCATTCGATCTTAAAGTTTGATATAATAATAAATTAAAGAGGAAAACATGCGTGTGTAGCAATACTAGTCAAGAGAGAAGAGAAAATATGACCTGAAATGGCAGGTGTAAGAATTCCATCTCCAATTACCATGGAGGTTGACATGATAGTAACAAAGAATATTACAAGTGGGGCCCATTTGCTATTCTCGAGAGTTGACTTCACCTTTTGAGCCCTTTTGAGTGAGCTCGAAGGCGTTTCTAGTTTGTAATTGGAGACTTGTGTGTCCTCTGCTTGCCTATTTGGGAGTGAACTCAGCTTCGCATATCGGCATAGCAACGAATACAAAGCAAATGTACCACCTAACACACAAATTACCAATTAATGTCAAGTGGGAAATTAAAGTTGTATTTTTAATGAGAAATTTAAATATCTATATATATATATTATTAATTATATGGAAATACATTTTATTGAGCAAATGAAATGTAATTAATAACTTTTATTTAACAAAAGAAAAAGAAAACCATATTTTGATAGTTAATACTTATTGCATACTCCTTCCGTTCTAAATTATAAGATATTTTTAGATAAAATTATGCTTATCAATAAACTATATTAAATACACTTTACAACATTAAGATAAAAATTTAAATGTCCTTCATTTAATACTCCATTTATGAAAGAATATTAAAGAGAGAGAATATAATAGGAAGGCAATATTGGAATAATGTTATTAATAAAACCTTGTTTTGTCAAAATGTTTTATATTTGGAACTCTAATCTCTCCTAAAAGTATCTTATAAATTGAAATGGAGGCAATACCCTTCAAAAAAAAAGTATATCATTATAACTCTATATTTCTACTATTTCATTTCATTTTTTTAAAACAATATTTATATTAGGTTTAGATGTCACCTCTTACTATTTTCCCTAAACCTATTCCCAATGTACACATAATTTTCATATGAAACTAATTAATCAATGAAACAAAATAACTTAATAAACAAAATAAAATCATTAGTAATAATATACACTACCTCTGATTTTAAGTCACTTTTAATATATGTCACCAGAACTAAAAAAATCTTAAGATTCATTAACTTAGTCTTAAAATTTAATAAGTTTTTAATTTTGTGTCTATCAAATATATAAATTTTAATAACGTGATTTGTCTCACTAACATTTAATGGAGGTTAAGAAGAAAAAAGAAAAATTGTGATTAAAAGAAAATGATAAGCCTTATAAATATGACTAAAAAAATCTCTCTACTTTATAAATAAGACAGGAAGGAGTATATTATAAAATTATAATAAGCCACACTATTACTCCTCCAGTCTTATTTACAATGCAATGATAGTATTTGTTTTGGTCATATTCATTAGATACCTACATGATTTTTTATATTATATCTTTACCTTGTTGTCTCTACTAAATGTTATATTATTTTATTTTTAAAGTATGTATATTTAATAGGGATAAAGTAGGAAACTTGTTGAATTTTTAAATAAAATTAATAAGGTTTAAGATTTTTCTTAATTTTAGAGAAATATGTTGAAAATGACATATAGATACTCCCCTGTTTCTCTATAAAAGAGAAAAATTATATCATATAATTTAAGAAAATCAGTTAACTACAATGATTATGTCTAAAAAATAAAGAAATTAGACTAAAATACTCTATGTTAATCAACATAAGTATGCATTAATTTTTTTTTGTTAATATAAATTATGAGGGGTAATTTAAAAAATTTATAATAAATGTTTATTGAAATTTGTGATTTTACTTAAAAAAACCAAAAAAAAATTCTCTAACAAATAAAAATGGACAGAGTAGGACTGTAGGTAAGTTATGAACAAGCTCATCCTTTTGACTTATATTATGTGCAAATTAATCTACTAACCTTCCCCATTGTCGTTGGCCCAAAGCACAATGAAGATGTACTTGATGAAGGGAACAGCCAAAATGGTATAGATAATGAGAGAGAGACATCCAATGATGTCGTCAGTGTTGTGAATTTGACCATCAGTGAAAGTGCTGGCATACACATACAAGGGTGACGTCCCTATGTCCCCATATATTATTCCTATGCTTTGGAATGCTAAACTCAATGTTCTTCTCCAGCTTGTCTGTCATTAACCACATTCAATACATCAATCAACATATAAAATGCTGAGTTTGAACCAAATTTTATAAATCATGAATACGTACTGTGATTTATATTATTTCTTAGAGTCGAAGTGATGCACAAGAAAGTGTAAAACAAATTAAATCTGCTATAATCCAGAAATTGTAATTAATTAAGAGAAAATTAATCATTTAGTTCTTTAATGTTTGGTTTAGTTATAACTCAATTTTTAAACTTTGACTCGTTATAAATTGGTTCTTATCATTTTGACTCAGTTTCAACTCAATTCTTGAATTTTAACTCTTGCAATTTAGTCTCTATAATTTTGACCAATTAAAATATTGCTCCTTAAATTTAAAAAATAAAATTATAAATATTACAATTATGTTAAAATTTAGGACTAATATTTTAAATTACCAAATTTTTTTAATCTTTAAAAAAATTATAAAGATTAAATTTTAAAATACTTTTAATATTTATAATTTTATTTTTTAAAATATAAAAACTTATATTTAAATGGTTAAAACTATAGGGACTGAGTTGTAAGAATCAAAGTTCAAGGACTGAGTTACAATTAGGTCAAAACTATAAAGACCAAATGATTAATTTTTCTCTTAATGAAATAGTCAAATGATCTTAGTATATATGTTTGTTCATGTATAGCAATCAAACAATGTTATGATTTAAAAAAAAATACAAATGTCGTTGGTTGGGACACTAGTTTACATTCTTCAAGCTCTTTAGCAATTGACCTCCCCACCCCTAAAGTTAAATTTAATTGAAGATATCATATAATTTGTCAATGGAAGCTGTCTTGTTTCCTTTTCTAAATTCTCATAAATCATCGGTGACATGATTTTTTTAAAAAATTATAACTGATTATATGAAGGAGAATGAGAAAAAAGTCAATAGAGTATATCATTTAAAATTATATGCAAGTTATTAATAAATTTCAGCTTTGATAAAAACAATTACTAAAATTTGAGTTCAACCACTAGCTAATTCATTAACATAGCACTAAATAACAAGGCCCGGAAAATACCCTAAACTCAAAATCATATGAAGGAAGTATCATATCACACCTATATCCATATAATTAAACACCAAAATATAACCTCCAGCCGCTTAGACCAACGGGTTAGTGAGTTGATTCAACTTAATTAGAAGCTTCGAGTTTGAGCTCTGGATATGAAAGTGGTACACCCATCAGTTGCTGACGAAATTTGTTTTAGTTATTAAATACATATAATATTGGAGCAAAAGCAAATATATATATATATATATATATAATTTATAACATGTTTTACTACGTTCTCCAGCTCTTATTAGTATGACTAATTACTTCAGATTTCATAAAATATATTAGGAAATTGTAACTAGTTGATAATAACATCACAAACAAAATGAAGCATGAGGAAAGAAATGCAATTGATGACCGAATTTAAGTAGAAATTAGAGGGAAAAAACAGAAAAAGTAAAAAATAGACGCTGCTTTAGTGGATCATATATGAACTATATGTTGTTAAGCAATAAGATGAAAAAGAAAAAGAAAATTAAAGACCTGTGAGGAATGGGTTTTGTTGAAGAGAAGCCTTCCAGCTTCCAAATTGAGTGAGTCAACTCGTCCCAGTTTGGCCCATGACACCTCCTTTCTTTCAGGGGATCTGATCCCTGTGTTGTTTCTGAGTCACCTTCCATGGTTTCCCTACGTAAAATCTTTAATTTGATTCCTCGGAGTATCTTTTTTGTTTGGACGAGGTTTAGTTTCGACTCCGTTCGGATTTTATAGGCACAAAAGTCAAAAGTGGCTGCTTTCTCTCAATTTTGTTTAGATCGTCAATACATGCGTTGGAATTGAGAAAAATATCATTTAAGGACCATGGAAGCAATTTAACATCAATAAGAACTAAACAATTTTGAAATAACACTATAGGAGCAGTAGACTGATTTGAAAATAATTTTAGATGAAAAAAGACTATAATACCCTTGTTTTTCTTTTTCTTTTTTTAAAAAAATTGTCAACTAGCAAATAGTCTTTTATTAAATATGAATACGTATTCGTAAATTAAATGTGAATGGGTACTTGTTGAGATATGATCTATACTTGTCTTTTCCTACAACTAAATTATTTCAAATTCTAGAACTTGTCAATTAATGAATACTTCTTATTAAATATGAATGGGTATTTGTTAATAATGACTGACTATTTCTTTAAATATGATCTACACTTATTCCTTCCCACAATTTAGTTTTTTCATGTTATTGAACTTATCAATTAGCGAATGACCTTTGTTAAATGTGAATGGATAATTATTAATTAATGAATGGCTACTTGTTGAAACATGATCTACAATTATTCCTTCCTACAACCAAATTTTTCAAATTCTTTAACTTACTAATTAGCAAATGGCTTCTTGTTAAATAGAAATGAGTACTTGTTAATTTATGAATGGTTATTTGTCAATTAAAAAAACAAAAGCAACGGTATTATAGTCTTTTTCTATCTAAAATTATTTTTAAATCAGTCTCCTAATCCTGCAGTGATATTTCAAAATTTTTTACCCTTTGATTGATATTCCATCTGTTAAAAAATATAAGGCATTTTTTATTTTTTAATGTGTAATCATTGCCTTTTTCTCAAAAGTGACCCTATTGATATGACTTTATATTTGTTATAGATTGTTTAATAGCGGTAAATATGAAAAGATAGGGTTAGTTAAAAAGTAGGTAACTACTTTATTGGTGAATGAGATTCGATTAAAAATACCTTACATTTTTTAATAGAAGGAGTATTAAATACAGTCAGTGGTCTTTGAATGACATTTTCCCTTGGAATTTTTTAGCCTTTGATTGGTATTAAATACAGTCAGTGGTCTTTAATTTTCAGGTGGTCTGTGCTTCGTCTGGTCATCATTTTCATATCATTATTACTCTATTTTTATCGACGAAAATCATATTACTTTAATATATTTTTAAGAATTAAATTATTTATTTTCTGAAAAAAATGTAACAAGCTCATATAGTTTTGATTGGTATAATTTAATTTATTAAAATAAACTAGTTTAATCCTTAAAAATTTTCAATAAAAAGCTCTCCATCCCTCTTGTCCTAATTATAAAACAGAGAAAAAACATTTATTTTTATTTACTTATAACTCACGCTATTGAATTTTTATTACAAGATTTTTCTTTTACTCCACATTAAATGTTAGTAAATACAATATTAAAGTAAAATATATTTAATAGAAAAAAATTTAAAAATTTATTAAAATTTTAAAATAATTAATGAATTTTAAGATTTTTCTTGATTCTAGTAAAATATTTTAAAATTATTTATAAATAAAATCAGAAGGCTTTATAAAAATAAAAAATCCCAATTTTAAGATGTCTTCTTTTTTTTTTTTCACTGCCAGATGTCTTTCAAAAATACAAACAATATTTCATTTTTGGCCTTTTAGTTTTACTGATATCCTTGAATTTTGAGGAAGCGCGTCAGTTTTAATTTTTTAATTTACTACATTTTCCATAATAATATTCTATCTATTTAATTAACAGATGTATAATTAAAAATTTGGAATTTTTTTAGCCAATAAAATAACTTAGTTGAGTAATACTTCCTCCATCTAAAATAATAAGACAACATTGAACAAGTTTTGTTGTACTAAATATAAAACCAATTTGATAAAAATAAGATTTTATTAACGATACTTTTTTAATATTACCAGTAAAAAAAGAATATAAATGATTGTAAATTTAAAGTTATATTAAATGAATAATATTTTTGAAAGTTTATATTTTATTTTGAAAAGTAAATTTAAAAAGTGTTATTATTGAGCTTTATTATTGGCTTATGTAAACTTATCTCAATTTTTTTTATTAACTTGGGATGAAGGGAGTAACTTCTTTTTTAACTATGTGAAAAATATTCCAATCAAGACAAGAGGAAATACTAGTTTGTAGAATATAATAAGGGAAAAAAACAATAATTGATCATTATAGTTTCATCAAATTTTACTTTTAATCCATGTAATTTATTTTCAGTGTTTTTAATTCTTATAGTTTCTGTAATTTAACATCATTAGGGATTTGAGGAACAAACAACATCCAATCTTGCTAAAATTATAAGGACTAAAAACATTGAAAGAAATAGAGGGACTAAAAGCAAAAGAAGATGAGATTATAGGGATCAATAATTCTGTTTTCCCATTATATATAATAATAATAATAACTAAAGTAGGTATTGTTTACTTTATGATTGAATTGTCGTGTAGAAGTTGGCATCCTGCACGGGCACAACCTTAGGAAAAAAGACATTTGCGATGATGGATTTTACTTCTTTTAAAAATGTTATCCACTATATCAACGATATTTTTAAGTGAGAATGACATTTGATGGGCAAAATATAAGATTATTTTCATGTTAACGCCCAAAAAAAAAGTCAGAAGTAGAAGCTTAATTTCTTCAATTTTAAATCATCAATAATTGAGACTTTCGAACTCTTTCCTCACATATTTTTGTCTGAATGGAATCCCTTATAGTCATTGTATTGTCTTTTTTTTTTTAACTTTTAAGCATAATCATCAAATGCTCATGACATTGATTTTTCCAATAGTTTTCCATATGATATGTTGCAAAAATATAATTTAGATTTTTCTGTTCCATCTTCATTAGAAACATATGAGGAGGGTTACTGAATCTATACAAGGAGCTAGTGCTTTTTTTCACCATTTTTATTACAAATAAAAATAAAAAAGAACTTATTTTGGTAAAATTTAATTTTTATTCTTTTAAGAAAGAATGACAATTAAGGAACTTATGAGAATATTAGTGTAAATGAGGGCCTTTAAGTTATAAATATATAAATTTGAGTTATAAATTTCAAAATTTTCAGTTATGAACGTACATGTCCTCATTTTGTATTTATTTAATTTCCTTATATGATCTTTTAATATATTATCATTCTCTCTTCTTTTAAAGTTTTTCTATATTTCATGGAAGTGGATCCCCTATAGCGATCAGCTGTAATTTATCAATAAAATCCAACCATTCCAATAATACAATATCTAGGCGATCGATCTATGTCACACACATTGTTGACTTTTAGTTAAAGTTTACTTTGTCCTATATTTAAAAATTATCTTTTAATAAACTTTGTTTGAAACCTGTTTATTAATAAATTGAATTTTAAGGGACTAACGATCATTTCCATAATTAAATATCATGAGGGCATATTCAAATACAGTCTTGAACCATAATAAGACAAAATGCATTATTTTAACATACAATCGCTTGATGAATTGTTAAAATAGCTGGGTTTTACTAATGGCACATGCTACTGTCATTAGGTCAACACTGTGGTGGAGAAAATGTTTTTGTATGAAGAGCATTTAAGTAATGTTGTTAAAATTTTAATTTTATTAAAGTCCCCTTGAGATTTAATGAAAATGTTGTAATTCTTGGGAACAAAATAAGTCGCTTGTACCAAATCCATGGGGCTCCTTTTTGAGTGAAGAAAATTAATAGAAGGGACTAGTTTCTCATAATGTAGTGAATTAAAGTTCGAATTCCTGTTGAAAAATATGCCTACATTTAATATTTGATCATATCTTGAATGTGATTGTCTTCAATGAAAAAACACCCATGAGCAATCAAAAAAGAATTGCCTTCCTAAGCTCCAAAAGAGTGCTATGAAGTAATCCTCTTACCATAGGATTCCAACCCTTCACTGTAAAATCTAAATAATAAACTAGACAGTGATAGTGCATGTGATAGTAAATTAAATTACCAGCATATAAGCGTACATGATTTGGCCATAATTGCTAAGCCACACTAAGCAAGTCCAACTAGATCTTCCTTTCCATACCTTTAGAATTATGCGGCTTTTGGTGGAGAAGCACACAATGAGTTAGGGTTAGAAAAGAGATCACCTGGCCTATTTAATAATTACTTATTGGTAGAGACGGTAATGACTGAACAAGCCTGAAAAATCTCAAGGCTGAGCGTGAGAGTTAGAAGATTTTGAGAGTTAGAAGATTTTTTTATTTCAAGCCTATTCAAATTGTCTGAATAAGCTTAAAGAAATATGGGCCAAGCCCAAACTAGAATGGGCTTAGCCCAAATATCCAAAATCTTTTTTTATTATTAATAAAAATAATATATATATAAATAAATAGATAAAATGGAAATATTAATTTTTAAAAAAAAAAAAAATTGAAATTAGCTAAAAATAAAATAATATTTAACAATATATCTTTTTTATATGTTTGGATATTTTAACTTGATCCCACCAAATCTCCCTCCATTAAGTCTAATCCACTTGAATTATCAGCTCTACTTATTGGGCCATCCACTATGGCTTTAATAATTTAAATCAATGGCCCACACTAGTTTTAGCTGCTAACTAGAACTCAATAGATCGTGTGTCTAACCTATATGATTACACAATTTAGTTGGACTTAAATTTAAATATTACAGGACCACGCGTTAACCTGTTTTAATAAATACTGAAATAATAATATAAATCCACACATAAAAATACAACATTCATTTCTTGGAATAATTGGCATTGTAATGTAGACCTCCGAGGCATGGTATTTCTTCAATCGATATATTCAGTTTCCTTTTGGGCTTAAAAAGCAAGTAGCAACCATCCAACCTCAGATTGAACTGCATGGTTACGTTGCCAAGAAACTGATCTACCACAAACTTCTACACTGTTGCATTTATTATTCTGAATCATTTTAATTGCTGTAGAATCCATTAACCTTCTTGTTTCTAATAAACCGCATACTGTATTTAATAATGCACTTAGTTGCAGCTTGATGAATGAAGGGAGTGAGACCGGTTTGATTTTATATTAAAAATGTTGGATTAACGAAATTCTTAAAAAATCTTTGTGTAAAAGGTTATACTTTATCTTTGGAATATTTCATATCCATAAAAAGTCAGAAGTGGTTACTTTCTTTCAATTTTAAATTATCAATAAATGAGCTTAGATTCCAAATTCTTTCGTCGCGCATCCTCGTTCTCCGTCGGCTGCAAGCTATCTCATATCTACAAGACATTAATTTACTAAATACTAGATTTTACATTCCTTACGATACACAAAAACTTTAACCATCTATTTGGTTTTATAAAAATGGAGGATATGGGAGGGAAGAAAATTTTAATGATTTCAAACTAAAAAAAATAAAAAGTGGGGTTATTAAATTTTAATAGACGAAGAGTAAGGAAAACAATTAAAACTTTCAACCTCAATTCACCAAATTTTTCAAAAAAAAAAAAGAATTCATTAAAATCTCCCCCCACGATTCCATTTCTTCAAACCAAACTTCCATAAAAAAAATTAAAAATGGAGTAAATACCAATTTGAAAATTTCAGAAAAGTAAAATGTATCTAGCTAGAACAATATGTGGATTAATGTTTTTAGTTAATGTTTTTATATTTTTTTAATAAATAATGAAATAATTAATATGAATCCAGACATATAAATCCGACATAAAAAAGTCTCTTATATTAAATTGAGACGGTGGAAGTTCTGCATTGGAGCTTGAGGAATGAAAGAGAGTGAGACAAGTTTGATTTTATATTAACAATGTTGGGTCAAAGATATTCTTAAAAATCTTTGTCTAAAAGGTTATACTTCATCTTCGGAACATTTCACATCCATAAAAAGTCAGAAGTGGCTACTTTCTTCAATTTTAAATCATCAATAATTGAGCTTAGATTCCAAACTCTTTCGTTGCATCCTCGTTGTCAGTCGGCTTCATCCAGATATCCCAAATATCTACAAGACATTAATTTACTATGTACTAGTTTTACATCCCTTACGATAATACACAAACAACACAGACCCTCTATTTGGTTTGAGAAAAATGGAGGATACCACTACAAAAAATATAAACTTTTGGCGGTGACAAATTGGCCACCAAAACTATACTTTTGGCGATAACAATTAAATGTCGCTGCTAAAAGAAAACTTTTTGGTGGCAACTTTGATTTGTCACCACTAAAAGTTTACTTTTGGTGATGACATTTGTCGCCACTAAAAATATTTTCATAAAAATAATTTAAAAGTTTAAAATAATTTATAATAATCTACTTTTGGTGGTGACATTTTGCGCCACAAAAAAAATTTTTCATAAAAATAATTTATATAATTCACTTTTGGCAAAGACATTTGTCACCTCCAAATGTATTTTTATAAAAAATAAATTTAAAAAATTAAAAATAATTTATATAATCTACTTTTGGCAGTGACATTTTGTAAAATTATAATTTAAATTCTTTTAAAAAAGTTATGAATTGTTTTAAAAATTTAAAATTAAATAAAATTATTCAAAATATATTTATAAAATTAAATTTCTTATTTTATCTATAGAATTAGAAATAAATTAATATAGGATCATGAAACCAAAAAAATAATAGTCAAGATGTGCTCAGTTTAATTATTTAATTATTTCTAATTTTATATTGTTCATAATCATTTTTGACATATATAGCTCATATTTTTTTAAGAATTATGTTATTAAGCTAGTTTTTTAATATGATAAATTAAAATCTTGATGGGTTATTGCTTTCAATTATAATTAGGTTAAGTTATATATAAATTATTACTTACAATCAAATATGTAAATAGCATTGGGATGTAAAGTTGTACAAATGTCGTGAGATGTAAATATATTGTAGACTACTTAGGATATTACACACTTGATGCTTAACTTAATATACATATAGTGTCTACTTCTTTTACTGAGCTCTAATGACTTTTGAAAAAGGATTTCATGTAATTCCCCTAATATATTTAGGTTTTCATTGCTATAAAAAAGAAGTTACTAATAACATTTTTATAACTAATTATTACTAAGAATAATATAATAACTATTCAAATCCACCTTGCTATGAGTTGAGGATGATTAGATGTTAACTAGATTAATCACATAGGAATTCTTGTAATTATCATATATTGTAAAAGTTATTAGTATTCATTTTTCAAATTATTCAAAATGAATATTAACCAAATTTATGTGGTTAAATTAATTTTTTATTAAAATAATTTTTTAAGATATTAAAAAATTATCGACAAAATAATAGTTTTAATAAAAGAGGGAGAAACATTTAGCTATTTTGAGAGAAGATAAAAATTTAATCATTTAATTTATCAATTTTTGAGAAAATATGGAGAAGAAAAAGTAAAAGATCGTTAACATAAAATATATAATACATATTTAGAAATACACTTATACTTAATAATTTTCCATTTAAAATAAAAAATCATTAACAATTGATTACAATGTGTATGAGAATTGTATTTTACTATTTAAAAAATTATTTATTTTAAGTTCCATTTTTCTAACAAAAATAATATTTACTAGTGAAAAATAATATTTTATTAAAATTATATTTTAAATATTCATATAAATCATTTTGTCATATTAATAATTGAAAATAAAATATATATATGTATATATCTTTTTAATAATATATTATTTGCTATCTGTGTATGCAGTTGCATAACCTATATTTAATTTCGCATATAATAATTTTCGCTGCATTTAGTTCAACTGGCAAAGAAGGAAGACTTAAAGCTTAAGGTTCCGAGGTCAAAGGTTCAAAGCTTGACTTTGTCATATTTTGCAACAAATATATGACATGGCGCGTGGTATTGATGTGGTACATGAGGTGGCTTGAGAAGGCACATATGTGGTAGGTGTTATGGCACGAGATGGTGGTGTAGCACATGAGGTGGCTTGAGGGGGCACACACGTGG